TCGGGAGGGATAACTAGTGATATCCAACACATCCCATATTTTGGAGGGAACACCCTAAGAAACACTAATTATTATTTTTTAAATAATTGTTAATATGATTAATGAAACATTTTAAATGTTTTATGTAGAGATATATTTTATAAATGAACTAGAGGCCCAGTGCATGGATTCATTTGTGCACTATCTGATCAATTCCAATCAGCAAATATGTTGTAGCACCTTACAACTTATGATAAACCAAACAAAATATGTCTTTGCATCAAATTTCCTCCAGATATTCTCACATTTTCTGTTTTTCTTTACATTAAGAATCATCTAAGAATTGCCTAGCCTCAACTGTGCCCTCTTGCAATGTGGGACCCCTCACGGGATGTAGCAATGTGAGAAGTGGTAGGTGGCCGTGGAGGAGGCCGAGCTGGGCTTGGCACTCTGAGTTTGGTGCTCCTAACTGCTCGCTACTCTCTCCTTACCGCTGCCATGGAGGCAGGAGAGGCTCCCACCACCACTGTTGCGCTCACCAGCAGAATAAACAAGTTGAGGACCTGTACATGTAGTGAAAATGAATGTTGTGTAAATTCAAATATTAACTTAAGTGAATTTTAGTAACACAATCTTGAGTCAGGATGAAAGCAAGTCACCAAAGAACACATTGAGTATGATGGTCCTTATATATAACTAGAGGCCTGGTGCATGACATTTGTGCATTCAGTCTCTCAGCCCGGCCTGTGCCGTCTTGCAATCCGGGAGCCCTCAGGGGATATCCGACTGCCAGGTTAGGGGAGCTGGCCTAAGCTGTCAGCCAGACATCCCTAGTGCTGCTGTGAGCCTGGCTTCTGGCTGAGTGTCGCTCCCTCTGTGGGAGCGCACTTACCACCAGGGGCAGCTCCTGCATTGAGTGTCTGCCCCTGGGTGGTCAGTGCATGTCATAGCAACCAGTCATTCTGCCATTTGGTCAATTTTTTTGCATATTAGTCTTTTATTATATAGGATAAGATTAAAAATGCTTATCTATGCAAAAGTCTGTATGTTAAGCATGCAAGTATGTTAAGCAATTAAGAAAATTCAGGGAATGATAAATACAAAATTCAGACCAGTAGTTAAGTTATTTATGGGCAGAATATGTAAAGACATTAGATGGGAAGTACAGAGGGACTTCACTGGAATGGATAATGCTCCATTTCTTAGGCTGATCCTGGTACAGTGATGTTCCTTTTGTTCTTATTCTTTCTACCATATATGCACACACACATGTGTATTAATAGGTATGTTATTCTGTGTTTTAAATATTTAATACATAACTTAATGGAACTAATTTGGTAAAGGATGCAGTAGATGAAGTAAAGTGAAAAATGGGATATATGAGCCTAGGCAGTTCTTAGATGATTTTTAATGTAAAGAAAAACAGAAAATGTGAGAATATCTGGAGGAAATTTGATGCAAAGACATATTTTGTTTGGTTTATTATAAGTTGTAAGGTGCTACAACATATTTGCTGATTGGAATTGATCAGATATGAAGAGAAAATGAAGATACAGAGACATGTCAGTTGTCAGAGTAGATGACAGTTGAAGAATCCAGTGCACAAGTAGAGTGGTTGGCATTATACATAGACTGGTGCTGTTCCCCCATAGTCAGAAAAAGGCTGATTTCAAGGGAAGAGATACATATTTATTGTTGGTCTTGAAGGAGCTATTTTCTATCATTTGTGATGGGATGAGATAGCAAATACCTGTAGTACCCATTCTAACTCTGGTACTTGTACTTTAAAATGGGGTGTTTAGTCTCTGGTGCAGATTAACCCTGGTTGAAAATTTTGACTTCTAACACTTATCTCCCACAGGAGACGTTTGATATCAACCATAAGACCCTGGCTTCCAGCAATGTGGCTGTCTCAATATTCTGAAAGCTAATAAAAAGCAGAGCAACTGAGTTCTGGGTAATATATAGCTTTTGGTGCATTCCTAGGCTTTAGTTATTAATAATAAAAATAGTAGATATCTATGCATTTCTAAAAATGGAAGAAAAATGATTATCTAGAGGAGGGTCTGGCAAACTGCAACCTTTAAGCCAAATCTGCATTTCCATTTGCTTTCATAAATAAATGTTTTTTAAATTTTATTTTTAATTATAGCTTACATTCAATATTATTTTGAATATCAGTTTTAGATGTACAGCTTATTAGGTAAACAATCTTATACTTTACAAAGTGTTCCCCTCAATATTTCCAGTACCCAACTGGCACCTTACATAGTTATTATAATACTAAAGGCTAGGTCCATGAAATTTGTGCATGGGTAGGATCCCTAGGCCTGGCCGGCGATCAGGGCCTATCTGTGGGGTGACCAGCAGAGCGATCAGTGGACCACCGCTGGCACCTGCCTGTGGGGTGGGGGCAGCTCCTGCATTGAGCGTCTGCCCCCTGGTGGTCAGTGCGTATCATAGTGGCCTGTTGTTCCACCAGTCATTCCAACATTTGGTCAATTTGCATATATTAAGCTTTTATTATATAAGATTATTGACTATATTCTCTCTGCTGTACGTTACATCCTAGTCTCTATTTTGTAACTACCAATCTGTACTTCTTAATCCTCCTTTCATCTTTCTCATCCAGTATCCCAAACCCCCGCCCCTTTGGCAACCATCATTCCAGTCTCTACATCTCTGTCTGTTTCAAATTTGTTATCACATTTATTTTGCTCTTTAGATTCCACATATAAGTGAAGTCATATGGTATTTCTCTTTTTCTGACTGATTTATTTCAGTTAGCATAATACTCTCTAGGACTGTCATACTGTCAAAAAAATGCAAATTGAAACCACAATGAGACACCATCTCATACCTGTCAGAATCATCAAATCAACAAACAAGTGTTCGCAAGGATGTGGAGAAAGGGAACCCTCTTGTATTGTTGTTGGAAATGCAGATTGGTGCAGTCACTATGGAAAATGGTATGGAGGTTCCTCAAAAAGCTTTATATAAATAAATTTTTATTTTAACAAGTGACATTTTTATTTATGTGCTGTTGTAAATCGCTGCTTTCAAGCTAATTACAGAAATGAATAATTGAAATAGCGTCCATATAGTCTGTAAAACTGGAAATATTCACTCTCTGATCCTCTACAGAAAAAATGATAGCTTCAGGAATATTATAGAGTTTCTGTATGTTCTGCACTTATTTTCCCCTATTATTAACCAACTAGAGCCCCGGTGCACAAAAAATTTGTGCACTTGGAGCAGAGGGTCCCTCAGCCCTGCCTGTGCCCTCTCACAGCCTGGGACCCCTCAGGGGATGACCACCTACTGGCTTAGGCCTTCTCCCCAGGGTATTGGGCCTAACCTGGCAGTCAGACATTCCTCTGTCAGCCCAGGAGCCCTCAGGGGATGTCCACTTGCCAGTGGGGAGAAGATCTAAGCTGCAATTGGACACCCTTAGAGCTGCTGAAGAGGCAGGAGAGGCTCCCACCACCACTGCTGTACTGGCAGCCATCAGCCTGGCTTGTGGCTGAGCAGAGCTCCCCCATGTGAGAGCGCACTGACCACCAGAGATTTATCTTCTATAAGTGAAACTTTGTTGCCTTGAGTGGAGGCCCCAACCAGCCAGGGCAGGTGGGAAGCTTGGATTCATCCTTCGCCGGGGCAACCAAGCCTCCTGTTTGCTCCAGCTCTGTGGCTGCCAGCTGCCATCTTGGTTAGGTTAATTTGCATATTGTTGCTCTGATTGGCTGGTGGTGTGGCTTGGGGCATAGCAAAGGTGCAGTCAATTTGCATGTTTCTCTTTTATTAGATTAGATATTGATATATTATTATTAACTAAAGTTCACACTTTGCTAGAATTGTATGAGTTTTTAATTAATATCCTTTTTTTTCCTCAGGATCTCATCCATGTATACCATGTTACATTTATGTGACAGTTTCTCAAATATTCCTTGTATTTAATGATCTTGATAAAACATGCATACTGGTCAGATATTTTGTATATTTTTCTTCAATTTGGGTTTATCTGATATTTTCTCCATGGTTTTACAATGGATATAGTTTTTTGGAAAAAGGCCATCGAGATGAAGGGCCATTTCATCACATATCAAGGATCTCTACTGTAACATCACTGATGATGTTAACCAGCTGAGGTAGTGTTGGCCATGTTTCTCTACTGTAAATATAGTCTTCCCTCCCCACCCTACCACTAACCTCTTTTAATTCTTTAGAAGGAAGTCACTGTGTGAATCCAACACTTAGGGAATGGAATGGGAGTCATACATAATTAGTTGGGAACTTTCTCTGTGTGATATTTATCTACTCTCCTGAACTTAATTATTTATTCAATCATTTATTTATATCAGCATGTATTTATGGATATTAATTTTATACCATGTTCAAAATCCCTATACTTTTCTCTAAATAGTAAGAAAGCAGCCCTGACCAGTTTGGTTGGTTGCAGGCACATCCCCAGTAGGGGGTGTGCAGGGGGCAGCTGATCAATGTTTCTCTCTCATGGATGTTTCTAACTCTCTATCCCTCTCCCTTCCTCTCTGTAAAAAAAGCAATAAAATATTTTTTTTAAAAAAAGAAAGCAAACCATACTTATTTCTCCTTAGATTTGACCTTTCAGGTTAGGAATTAAGGATGTAATAATACACTAAAGACCCACAGTGAATTTTTGATGATCTTGTGAGTCTTCTGATTTGGAGAAAGGGAAAAGTGTAGTATAGGAAAAACAATCATCAATAGAATGCAGAAAAATAGGAGACAAGCCAAAATAGCAGTTTATATAAAAAAAACAATAACTATTTTTTTATTCCTTTTGTTTTTGTTTTGCTTTATTGGCAAATATCACATTTTGTAAAACTTTAGCTTACAGAATGCAAATTCATTACATTTTATATAAGACTTTCAAGTATAAATAACACTCATTGGGAGTATTGATAGACATCTGAATAATTCTGTTATAGCCAAAATTTATATTAGATTAAAGTAAATTCCAAATTAAGTATTTTGCAGAAAGTGAAAAAAATCAGGAACTACATAATAGGTATAATTATGCCCCCAATTTTATTTGTTGATTTTAGTTATATCTTCCATGATTTTCAAAGTTCATGTAAATACGAAATATACTACTAAATGTGTGTAGGGGGAGAGGGAATAGGGGGGACAGCATGAAAATAATTTGGAATGCTTATTTATTTTTAATGTACTTCTAAGTTCAACTCTCTGTGTGTTTCTACATCACTGCCATAGATTATAGCTTTGTGTAATATTTGTAAAAAGAAGAAAAAGGAGGAGGAGAAAAAGAATAAAAAACAAAATATAAAGATAATATCAGGCAAAAATCATTCTGTGTCTATAATTGAGATCTCAATAACCATGTGAACCTGATCATATAACCTTTCACACGACTCCTTCTCTAGCAATCTAAAATAAGGATAGCTGTAACCTCTGATACGTTAGAAAAGCCTTTCTTAGATCTCAGTTCGTAATTTCAGTGTAGACCCCTTCATTTGCTGCTCATAGTGCATATCAAATTTCTTATTCAGGGCCTCTGTAAAGTGATTCTTCCAGTCTCCTATAATCCCTGTAACAAAAGAAAAAAAAGTATTATGTCTTCAAGCCAAAATCATGAAGTTTTCTAATATTCATCACTTTCATTAACACCTTGATTACAATAATAAAATATATGCCATAAATAATATATATATTTGAGCTTGCAAAGGATTTGTTGTGATTATTAAAACAACAGTAACCCCTTGATTACAATAATAAAATAAATGCCATAAATAATATACATTTTTGAGCTTGCAAAGGATTTGTTGTGATTGTTAAAACAACAGCAACAAACAGCAAATTTCTTTCTCTGACCTTCTCGCTAATGCTACCGCATTGAACTTTTTTTCTCTAATTTCCTCTCCAGTGTTGGGACTTCCTCTTAATATGTGATCCACGTTTTACACATGCCCAAGATATTAAATATCATGTTCATGCTAATAACACTTAAATCCAGCTTTATATTTCCATATCCAACTGCCACCGGAATTCCATACAAGTATACCAAATTTATCTGGTTCACACATTAATTCATATTGTTCCCCACCAAACTGAGTTTTCTTTTTTATAACCTGATTAATGGTGGCACCAGTTATCCAAAACATAAACTTGGAGGCTGTCCCCTCTATCTTACATCTCATTCTTTATTCCTATTCAGACTCATTTCCTTTTCTCCATTTCTGCTGCCACTGTCATCGGAGTTCCTCAGCATTTCCCACCTGGGTTATCACAATAGTAGAAGGCCCTTCTCTTTTGCTTTCCACCACATCCAGCCCTCTCCTGGCAGAGGAAGTCACCCTGTATTTTAAATGTCAACAGTTCACTGTCCACATTAGCTCAAGAAGTTCTCAACTTTCCTAGTGAGATAACCCAAAAAGCAAAAGGTAGAAAATATATATTCTGGGTAGGGTCTAAGGGTACAGGAGTGAGCAGCCCTTTACAAGCATGATAATTACTCATTTTTTAATTTAAAAAATATATAGGTATTATTTGCCCAGCCAGTGTGGCTCAGTGGTTGAGCATTGACCTATGAACCAGGAAGTCACGCTTTGATTCCAGGTCAGGGCACGTGCCCGGATTGTGGTCTCAATCCTCAGTGGGGAACGTGCTGGAAGCAGCTGATTGATGAATCTCTCTAATCATTGACGTTTCTATCTCTCTCCCCACTCCTTTTCTCTCTGAAATCAAGAAAAATATATTTCTTAAAAAATATATAGACATTGTTGTAAAAAAAGACTGAGATAATCTGAGAAATGGATTATTAAAATATATTTATTTTCAGGGCTCCCTGTTTTCACCCAGTGGCAGGTTTGTTATTCCTATTAATTAAAAAATGTCCTCGCCTTTTCACTGGCAATTTAGATCAAAGAGCAAGATTTTCTCTATTCTGCTTCTAAAAAAAAAAAAAAGATGAACACCGAAAACCCACATTTTTTTTCACATATCAGTAAGTCCAGATGTGCCAATACTCTGCATATCCTACATGTGTTTGGCTTTATAAATACTGTATGTATCTCATCAGAGTATCTAGTGAAAATTTAAAGATAATTAGAATTTTAAATTTATATGTATTTACATAATGTACATGGTATAGCACCAAGGCTCCCAGGCCTAGTAAATGGTAGGTAGCAGAGGGTATTAGTGCTGGGGCTGAGGTTGTACTGAATGCTGGGAATTCTTATACTAGGGGCCCGATGCATGAAATTCGTGCACGGGGGGCAGGGGAAGGTCCTCAGCCCGGCCTGCACCATCTCCAATCTGGGACATCCCTCTCACAATCCAGGACTGCTGGCTCCTAACAGCTCACCTGCCTGCCTGCCTGATCGCCCCTAACCACTCTACATGCCAGCCTGGTTGGCCCCAGCCTGCTTGACCACCCCTAACCACTTTACTTGCCTGCCTGATCACCCCTAACTGGTTCCCTCTCAGCCTGGTTGCCCCCTAACTGCTCCCCTGCTGGCCTGATCACCCCTAACCACTTCTGCCTTGACCCCCACCATCGTGGCTTTGTCCAGAAGGAAGTCGGACATCTAGAAGATGTCTGGTTGACCTGGTCTAATTAACATATTACCCTTTTATTAGTATAGATGCCGCATATTCTATATAATAAAAGGCTAATATGCAAATCGACCAAATGGCAGAACAACTGGTCACTATGATGTGCACTGACCACCTGGACCGTGAGAGAGCACAGGCAGGGCTGAAGGACCTTCCCCCAAGTGCACACATTTCATGCACTTGACATCTAATACTAAATAATCAATAAGTAATAGCAATTTATTAGTAATTCTAGTATAACTAGTGTTTTATGTCTCTGAAGACTGGTAACACAATAAAGAGAGTTCTCATATGTGAAACAACACTGCAGAAAACAAGCAGAGTCCACATATATGAATAGGCCTTTGTAGGTGTTTGCCTATAATCGTTTCAACTTGTGACCTCTTATAGTAATAGAGGCAAATCATGTGACCATCTCACCTTTTCTCATGAATGGAGATATTTTTTGGTTCATGATTTCCATTCTTGCATATCACATAGAAAATACAACTTTATTACACCATCTACAAAAATAAACTCAAATTTATGATTTACTTAACTGTATGATCTGAAGCCATAAAACTTCTAGGAGGAAATACAGTCAGTAAACTCTTTGACATTAATCTTAGAAATATATTTTTGGATATATTATCTCAGGCAAGGGCAACAAAAGCAAAAATAAATAAATTGTACTACATCAAGCTTAAAAGCTTCTGCACAGTAAAGGAAACCATGAACAAAATAAAAAGACAACCTACTGAATGGGAGAAGATATTTGCAAATAATATATCCAGTAGGGGTTAATATCCAAAATATATAAGGAGCTCGGACAACTTAATATAAAAAAAACCCAACAGAATTAAACCTGGGCAGAGAATGACTAGACATTTCCCCAAAGAAGATATATTGATGGCTAACAGACATGAAAAGATGCTAAATATCATTAATCATCAGAAAAATGCAAATAAAAACCACAATGACACAGTGAGATATCACCTCTCACCTATCAGAATGGCCATTATGAGGAAGTCAACAAATAAGTTTGACAAGAATGTGGAGAAAAAGGATCCCTTGTGCATTGCTGGTGGGAATGTAAATTGAAGTAATCACTATGAGGTTCCTCAAAAATTTTAGAAAAAAACTACCATATGACCACTTCTGTATATTTATCTGAAGAATATAAAAGCGCTAACTCAAAAAAAAATGTATGCACTTCTGTTCATTGCAGCATTATTTACAATAGCCAAGATATGGAAGCAACCTAAGAGTTCACTGACAGACAAATGGATTAAAAATGTGTGATTTATATATTAGTCAGCAATAAAAAAAAAAAAAGAATTCACCATTGACAACAATATGAATGGACCTAGAGGGTATTATGCAAAGCAAAATAAGTCAGAGAAAGACAAATACTGTATGATTTCATTTATATGTGGAATCTGAAAAAACACAGGACAAATGAGCAAAAAAACAAAATAAGAAATAGACTCATAGATACAGAGAACAAACTAATGGTTGCCAGAGGTGAGGAGAGTGGGGGACAGGTAAAAAGGGTGAAGAGGAATAAGAGGTACAAACTTCCAGTTATAAAATAAATAAGCCATGGGGGTGTGATGTACAGCACAGGAAAAATAGCCAATAATCCTATATAATAAAAGGCTAATATGCAAATAGACCAAATGGTGGAACAACTGAACAACTAAACAACCGAACAACCAGTCACTATGACATGCACTGACCACCAGGGGGGAGTGTGTAGAACATGGTGGGCATTGGCAGCAGGTGGCAGAGTGTGTTTATGGTTAAGATTGTTGTACATATTCAGTTTCTCAAGAATATATATCTACTAGTGGAATTTCTGGGTCTTCAGTTCCATTCATGTTTTGCCCGTTGTAGATAGTGACAAGTTTATTCCATTGTGTATCTTTTACACTACCATCAGCAGTATGTTACTTCTCACTGATCCATATCCTGACTAACATTTATTATTGTTAGACTTTTTCATTGTTGTCAGTCTGGTGGGTATGGGATAATATTTCATAGTGATTTTTATTTGGAATTATCCTGATTACTAATGAAGCTAGAGAAAAACTAAGTTATTAGGAAATTTTGAGGTCATCAGATTTTTATATATTGCTGTTCTAAGCATTCTCTTAACTCTCTCCGTCTGAAGGTTTGAGTTGATATATGTGGAACCTTATCATGTTATCCTACATGTCCATTACATTTTTTTAATAAAGTATTCTATTTATCTCAATGTGGTGAATTCTATAGAATTAACTCAGCTCCATCTTCCACATTACTAATGCATGATTCAGCCATGTCTTACTGTTATTTAAACCAACTCTTAATGTCTAATTTTAATTTATTATTTTAGAGATTCTGTTTTGTTATTTTTTCCCAAGTTGACTTATTAAGGTTAGTAACCTCATGCTTCTTTGCAAAAATCTCAATTTCTTCTTTTATTTCTTTAAACATATTAAGCATAATTATGTTAAAGCCCTTACCAGACATCTATGGATTTGGAGATTAGTTGACTCTTCTTGCCTGCTGTGATTCCTTCTGTGAATGTGTGTGCATGTGTTGCTGTTTGTTTTATAAACTCAAGTTCTTCCAAATTTTATTGTTGGTAATTTTTTGAGACTTGGTTTTAAACATATGCATTCATTCACAGGAAACTTGTATTTACTAACTTAAAATCTGTGTTAAAGTACCTGGATAATTGTAACTTTTGGAGGCGACAGCATCATTTATTTAAAGGTAGACCTTTGTATCCTAGAGTGTTGCCAAATGCTAACATTTTAGAAATTACTAAGTTGTCCATTTGTTTTGTTTCTCACCTCCTTCATGTCTTCATAGAAAAGAAATAGCAAACGTGGATTCTTTCTCAGTTCCCACCAAGATTTTGCATGTTCATACCAGGAACCATAAGGAACTAAAATTAGAGATAAAGGCAACATAAGAGCACAGTATCATCTCTATACAGCTTGAAGAATGAATGTTTAAACAACAGTAGCAATAAATAAATATCAATAAATGATCATGAAATGAAAACTAGAGATCAGCCTCACATCTGAAGCACATTTCCCTGCAGCAAGGAGGCAAAATATGTTGAATAATTTATATATGGAAACATATTCTCAACTTCCATCATTGTAACATGTTTATGGCACAGAGAACAAGTGAAGGAAGTCCCCCTCCCATCAATTTGATTCAGAGTTTATGAAATCATTTTTGAAACGTTTGTGCGCGCGGGGTGTGTGTGTGTGTGTGTGTGTGTGTGTGTGTGTGTGTGTGTGTGTGTGTGTAAAATCAGATTGTTAGTGAAGGGAGTTGAGTTAGTGGAACTATCAACGTTCTTAAAATAAGAAGTCAGCCCAGTTCTCAAATTTGCCATTTACAATCTGGCTTTGGCAACTGAAGCTAGTAACTATGTAATAGTTTATTACAGTACTTGCAGTTTCTATGATAAAAGCTATTCTCTTAGGAAACTTTAGTGCCATTCTCACTCTAAAAGAATTAGATTTGGGAGATGATGTGATATGACCAAATGTTATCTTTTCCTTTCTCTCTCCTTATCTTTTTCTCACATATATCCAAGTGTTTCAGCCAATAAAAGCTCACAAAATGATTTAATAATGTGTGAGTCCAAGTATTCTGCTTTGCACTAAATCATTGCATATGTCTTCTATTCTTTGACTCTATTGGCAATTTTTCTTTATAGGAAAAGTTACGTGATGCTATTTACAATTATCTTATTCATCTCTTTTGTGGAGGTACAACTTTATGTTTCTCTGCCTTACAATGTGAGTTTTAAGGATCTTGAGGCAAATATTTTATTCATTATGCATTAGCATAAAATTTCTCAAATACAACAATAAAAATAAAGCACAAATATCCTACTTTTAGTGAGTCAATATTAGCTTTTATGGGTATAAAAGTGGCATTGCTATCATTTTCCTTACAACTTATTACTACAGAGTCAGAATGGCCTTCTTCAGTTAACACTAGAATCTCCTGACCCCTTTCTTCCTCAAATCTAAATACTTAGTTATTTTAGTCTCTAGTTAAATAAAAAGGCAACATTTTCCAGAATTACTGCTCAAGTAATTCTTGTACTGTTCTGAGAAATCTAGTTGAATTATTCAGATTGTACACTGAGTGAATGCGTAAAAACTCCGTAGGTATTCAGACTTCTTTATAAATTGTGGCTCATGTAACACCTGAAATTTTCCTTGGAAACAAATGGACATTCTCTCTCCTTTATTCTCTCCCTCCTCTTGTTCAATAGAGTGCTAATAACATTCTGTGAAATACTTTTCTAATAAAAAAGAACAAGAGAAAAAATTGGACACTGAGTCTCAATCTTAGAGAGAAAAATTGTTACCTCCACCCCCTAAATATATGTTTTTAGGCATTAGGCTGAACTTTCTATGTTCTACAATTTGCCATCCACATCTGAAAATTTGCTCTAAAGTTCAAGGGCATCTAGAACATCTGTGTTTTAATTAAAGATCAGGGAAAATAACAGACCAGGAAAAACAACAAACATTTTTGCTCAGGGACACCATTTGTCTTGTATCATTTACCTTGAAAGAATTTAAAGAGAGGAAGCTGTTTTTACCTTCTCCATCCATGAATTTCTCCACAAACTCTGGAAAAGTTCCAGGATTTGGATGACCAGCTACCATTTGAAAGAAATAATAAAAAGAAACAGCCACGTCCTTGGCATTCCGGCAAAGATAGATCATCTAAGAGGGTAAAATCAAATATTAAAAAAACCTACAATTTTTAAATACAGTTTCATCAAGATTTTAAAAAAGGCATTTGTGTTTTCAACTATAAAAAATTACATAATCAACTTAGAAAGTACATAGTTATTTAAAAGTCCTTTAATAGCCTGAAGTGACAATATCTTTTAAAGTGACAGTTGTTCAATGTTAATTCTCACTTTTCATTTTTATGATATTTTTACATGTAACACCTCATTTAAGTGTCACAATCTCATTGTTATAAATTGGACCAGATAGATTAGTATCCTTAATTTATAAGTGAAGAAACTAAACTGAAGCTAAGTCACAAAACAACACCGAGAATAAATCAATGAGAGTAAATGATTTGTAAATCACTCAGTCAACAGTAAAGTCCTCTGAGCTTTATACTACCCCACCGTTCTGTATAATAAAGAAAAAGATAGTCTTATTGTTTCCTCACTCACACTCTTTTTAAAAAAATCATGTTCATGTGGGTCAATATGCACATTCACCTCAGGGAACATGTAACCGTCACCAACATCTTGTTGAGTTTCTGTTTCACATAAAGAGGAAACTCTAGCAAATTAACCAGCAGGACGGTTGGTTTTAATTGCTACTTCTGGCACTAAGATTTTCTACCATCTTGTACAAAGCACCAACATTTGGGACCTAAATTTCTGTCCACTTCATAGTCAGTTGGACCAGATCTGTGTGGTCTCTTCTAGGTCCGATAGACAATGCTGCTGAAAAAGTTCTGCAAAAGCAAACTGCACATCCTGTGGTGTCCCACTTCCACCCTCAGGCTCCTGAGCAAGGCCGTCAGGGAAGAAAGGCTCTTCTGATGGATCCACCTGCAGGGGAACCTTCTTTCTGCCAAGGACCATTTGGATATTTAATACATCATATAAAATTGTCCACTTAAAAATTAGCCTGGTCAAACATGTAATGAACTTACCCTTAATGCTTTTGCAGGGCCAGACCAAATGATTTTGTGGGCTTTATATGGCCCTTGGGCCAGACGTTCCCACCCCTGGTTTATGAGATATGATTAGGCTCACTAACTTGTCTTACTCAAGTCTTCACATTTTCAAACAATTGTTAATAAAATCTTCTATTTTATTCTAAGAAAAATGGATCTCAGTGTTAAGATCCTACTATAAAACCTCTAATTACTACAGAAAAAAGGTGAATTTTATCTTCTCATCCAAGCTATTATTAACCCTGTTGAACATTTATTAAATGTTTATAGATTCAATGAAAGAATAAAGAAACAAGCGTGTATACAACACAGTTATGACTTGAATATTCTAAAATTTCCTGGAGTTGGATAAAGTTTTAATACTTGACTCTGGTTACCTTACAGTTCTTTTCCCAAAATGAAGCTGGAAGAAGCTGCGCTGGCAAATGAGTCTTCAAGATTCTAGGAGATGCCATCTCTTTTAATTGTTTTACCCCTGGATTATAAAAAAAAAATTAAAGGTTAGATAACTTCAAAAATTATAAATATTTATATGGATTTTATAGATATTTAAAAAATAGAAATAACTAAGATTTTATTTTTTATTAATGATAATATTTATATAATGTATATACTATGACAGAATTTTAGATAGAGAAAATAATAGAGAAAAAATAAGATCAAATAAAATTTCATCACTTTGGAAAAATTATTCTTAATATTTGGGTCAGTAGCTTTCTCGACAAGTATATCTATTTATATGCTCAGACTCATAGCCATCCAAATACCACATACACACATAAATTTTTCAATATTTTCTAATTCTCCTTTTTCCTCAATTTATTACACTGATACTGCAATGTCAAAAAACATATGATAGCCTAACATTTTTAATGATTTTATAGTGTTATTATATCACTTCTAACTATTCTTTTCTTAACTAATATGGCTAAGAAATTTTCTACAATGTTAAAACAATCTTCGATGCATATCTTTTTGCATAGATCCTTTAAAAATGTATATTTTTCTAGTGTTTAAAATATTACCACATTTAGCCCATGGAGACATAAATACATATTACTAGGCTCTACTGAGACATATAAGAGCTATTCTATTCACTCTTTTCTAGACACATGCTACACCATAATCTCTGTCAAGATTTTCATTTAAATTTACATGTTTTGCTATGTCAAAGACATAATAGTAATTGCCATTGTTGCTTACAGTCTCTTTCCATATATCATCTACATCCACACTTTAAAAGATGTGTATAGTACAGCTTTTAAAATCAACTTAAACATTACCATTCATCATCTCTTCTTTTCTGCATTCTAAGAAAGGTATACGATTAAAAATGGCATCTCTTTTGCACTTTTCCACATCACCATCTTTAAAGATCACGTCTACAATTTCACTCAGCCAGGTTGTACCTGTAAAAATTAAACAAACCCGAGTCTTCCACTGACCATGCTGGGCTGGCGATGGAAGTGATGAATTTATAGCTGGATAAAGTAGGATGGTACCAGTGCATTATTATTTGAAAGGTGCCAGAATAGCCACAAGACTCAATGAATAAAGATGAACATTATAGTAAAACATACCTGTTGTAGGAGTGCCAATTTGTCCATGATGAACTGGGACATTGTGCACACTGATAACAGTTTGGATTAAAATTTTTACATTTAGAAACTAAGGAAGCTTGAATGACAGATGATACACCCAAGTATGCTTTCAAACACAAACTTACTGCTAGTTTTTTATGCCTCAAATTGTCTTAGTTCAGAGGATACTGAAAAAAATAAATCTGGTCCTTGGTTCAATGGTGATCAAAGGCCCTTTGAAGAGTTAGAAACAATGTTCACTAATTACAACAGTTATTTTTTTTCTTAAGATGTTATAATACCAGCGAGCACAGGGATTTAAAGGACTGCAAAAGGGGAACATTTAATTCAGTATGACTCTGCTGCTGCGATATGTAGACAAGAAATGCCTTCAATAATTGAGCTTAGAGTTAACAAATTATTGGTATAAACTCACCAGTTTTGTGAGGTAGGGAAGGATTTTACCAGTCAGGAGAACTGTCTTTTTTTAAAAAAATTCAAGGTCAGATATTTAAGAATATTAAGGTGGTGAGGGAAAGAATTGGAAATAGATTGTGAAGCCTAGATCCAAGAGTCCACCTGAAGAGATGAGTGGGCATGAAGCCATAGTGGCAATTAGACAGCAAGCATAAAATACCTTATAATTCATACTAAAATATGGAAAGGCATTGACATACATTAAATAAGAGAGCAAGTTGAGGAGGGTTGAGTTTTATTTTTATTTTTTTTAATATATTTTATTGAATTTTTACAGAGAGGAAGGGAGAGGGATAGAGAGTTAGAAACATCAATGAGAGAGAAACATCAATTAGCTGCCTTCTGCACACCTCCTACTGGAGAGGATGTGCCCGCAACCCAGGTACATGCCCTTGACCAGAATCGAACCTGGGACCTTTCAGTCTACAGGCTGGCGCTCTATCCACTGAGCCAACCGGTTAGGGCGGAGGGCTGTGATTTAGAAGTCCACTAGTGGCAGAGTAAATAGAACAATGGAGTGAGATTAGCCATTCTGTGTCACCACCACTCTTATCAGTCTCGATGTGGCTTTTTCTTTATGTCCTGAGTTATATCCTTCTGCTCGACTAGATTTCAGGTGGTTCAGAATGATGGTTATTTTGTAGTTTAGTTGTAATTTTGATGCGATTGTGGGCAGTTTCAAGTACTACTTTAATCTACACTGTCATCTTGACCAGAAGCCAATAATACCCATTTTTCAATAGTACTGCTCAAGTTATAGGTATAAATTATGATCTTACAATAGATTTATTATATGCCCCTTTTTCTTTTTTTAAAAAATATATGTTATTGATTTTTTTACAGAGAGGAAGGGAGAGAGATAGAGAGTTAGAAACATCAATGAGAGAAAAACATTGATCAGCTGCCTCCTGCACACCCCCTACTGGGGATGTGCCCACAGCCAAGGTACATGCCCTTGACTGGAATCGAACCCAGGACCCTTCAGTCTGCAGGCCGACACTCTGTCCACTGAGCCAAACC